AAAAAAAAAAAAAAAGGGTGGAGAGGAGGGAAGGGGGGTGTTTATTTTTCTTTTGTCACTTGTAACCACTAAAGAAAAAAGGGGTATCGCGTGGGTTGTTTTTCTTTCAACGTTGTCTTGTTAAGCAAATGATGGGCAATAGCATATAATTAGATTTTTTTAAAAGTCTCTGGCATCTTTTATCACATTCAAGTTCATGTCATTGTGAATGTGAAATTTTTAACCCTCAAGTACTCTGTATGGGTTGGTTGAATATGAACTATCCAAAGCTCGCATGTTTTTTTTTCTTTTAGCTACGAATTGCTTCTTTTTATCCATTGCTTTTAGGTTTATTGTTTGACCCAACACTTATCAATTCTTAGGAATACGACTAGCTATAGACACACGCCCAATCAATAAAACAAAAAAAGGAGGACACACAGGGAGTCATCCGCAATGGGGAGCTGGAACCAAAAAATGGCTAAAATGGCCTTCCGCCGCTCGAAGTTCCGGCGCCTAGCATGGGGGGATGGCGATCCTTATCCGTACACCCCGCGTGCGACCTTCCGCTACCAGTGGGATGACTGGCCCCTCTGGGAAAAAGTCTGGCATCTTTCCGTCATGATCCTTGGCTTGGAGTTTGTGATTTGGGCGTACTACTCCAAGCTCAACAGCCGAATGGACTGGGCCCGCGAGGAGGCCCTCCGTCGAATGCGTCTGCGGCGCGAAGCGCAGGAACTAATGATCTTAGAAGGCGAAACATTCAACTCGGACATCCAGCCCAATCGCCGCTAAACCGTTTTGAAGGCAAGAGTGGCATCGTTGGTATTTTGGTTCGTCGTTTAGACGATGTAGGCTTTACACACTTAGTAAAAATGTAGGCAAGCATTTAGTATTTTTTTCGATTTATATATATTTTTATACTGTTATTTTTTTTTTATCTATTAGCGGATAAAATTGCACAAAAATAGATTCCGTATTCCTCCATATTCTGACACATACATAATCTGTGACGAGTTGGTTTCGTGTATTTCGTTTTTTACTGAATTTGTTTTATTCTGGGCCTATTTCATTATATAGCAAACTCCCTGCTCTTCTTATCGTTGTATATTTTTCTAATTTTATCCCTTTGTTGATTCGCTCAGGTGAAAAAATGTGGTATATATTTTTTAAAATAATCATTATTCATTACTTCCTGTGGCGCTCGCAGGAAAAGGGTTTCGAACACCTGTGAAACAAAAACTTAGAACGCAGTGTGGGTCGATCGCTTTCACGAAGAAAATCACGCATACACACTTCCAAAGCCTGACGTCAAACTCAGTGCCATAGGAAATGCCTTTGTCCGTCGTGGTGGGGTGAGGACGAGGCTAAAGTCAATCCGATTAACATAATCCGGAGTTAAGTGTGTGGTTCGACAGTGAGCGCATTTCACGTTAGAAGCGTATACACAATCCGCAGGTCATGCCTGGAGGTGAATCGCCCCTCTATCATTGACTTAATCATTCCTTTGGCTACTGTTAATCCTAAAACACGGCATGGCGTTGTGTGGTGGGAGAATTCCGCATACGCACATATAAATGTTTATCCAAGTGTGTGTGATGGTACGTAAAAAAGTGATCGCAACGATAACGAAAAAAAAGACGACACGCCGACAATTCAAGAAGAAAAATCCGTCTGCTATCAATAACTATTTTCTCATGTCTCACCAGCCACGAGACTTCATGCAGCTTTGCGATTGCGTCTATTTATCTATGACTAACATCGACAATCCCTTTTAACCCTGTCAGCATATCTAAAAGCATTTTTAAAAAGTTTTATCTCACCAAGACAAAAAAAAAATTATTTATAAAATGGCGTCGGGTGCCTCAGTTATCGCGTTTAAGTACAATGGCGGGGTTCTTCTCGCTTCCGATACGCTGCTTTCCTATGGCTCACTCGCCAAGTGGCCGAATATCCCTCGCATCAAAATTATCGGATCCTACTCCGCGATTTGCGCCACGGGGGACTACGCGGATTTTCAGCACATGTCGACCCTCGTCTCGAACAACATCGAATGCAAAAAAATGTACTTCAACGTCGATGAGCTCGGCCCGAGCGAGGTCTTTTCGTTTCTCCATCGCAAAATGTACGAAAAGCGCTGCGATTTCGAGCCGTGTTTGTGCAGATTTGTCTTTATGGGCTGCCGGAATGGCGAGACGTTCTTGGGCGGCGTCGACGACGTCGGGACGAGGTGGACGGATGACTGCGTGGCGGCGGGCTACGGCGAACACCTGGCGATTCCGCTCATCCGAGAGGCGCTTGGGAAGAACCCAAACGGCTTGTCAAGGGAGCGGGCGATGGAGCTGATGAAGGATTGTCTTCGCGTTATATTTTATCGGGAGTGCCGGACTATTAACAAGTTCCAAATCGCCGATGCCACGAATGACTCGGTCACGATTAGCGAGCCGTTTAGCGTGGACACGAACTGGGAACTGGAAGGGTTTTCGTTTGGAAAGACAGCCATTATTGCTTAGAGTTTAAGGAAAAGAGGGGGATGTGAAAAAAAAAAAGGACGTCTTGATGCAAAGAACTAGGGTAGAACAGAGTCAAAATTATCGATAAATCAAACACTACTGTGGGACTGATCCTAATAAATGATAAGCAATAAGTGTATTTGATGCTGTACGGGTTTAAGTAAAGGAACATTAAAAAAAAAGAAGACCAATTTTTAACCCGTTCATCCAATTTTGATCATGTTATGTTTTTTTATATATGTTTTGTTGTGATTGGACGAAAGAGGTAGCATGGCGTATCACTATTTATGCTCTATTATTTTCCTGCAATGTGTATTCTCTAATATGTTTCTTTTCGTCAAATATTCTCTTCATTTTCCTCACCTTTACAAAACGCCACGAAAAGGATAGTATATATTGGAAAGCTGATATACTGCACCTGATCAGCTCCTAATTTTTTTTTTTTCAAAGGAGCCATTGCTCACAAATTTAGGTTTGGAATTTCTAAAAATTCCTTGTATATACGTATAATTAATTGCATTTCACTCGCTCTTATTCCGAATTAAGAGCTAGAGGAAAAGAAGCAAACCCCTCCTTAAAAAGGAGCCCTTTTCATATTCATACAAAACTTATTGGTGAGTATTCACCGGATAATTGATGGCTCAAACAAAAGTATATTTTGATGTCGAGCAATTAGTGGACTATATCCAAAACATCGCGATGGACCCCGAGATGCGCCTCGCCTTTGTCGCCGAATATGTGAGAAGCATCAAAGATTTACATGGTAAGAACGTGCAGGAATGCGAGAAGGCGGTTTCCATCCTCTTCAACTGTTTAGAAAGCTATGACGTGATGAAAAGCTCCAACGTGGATACCATTGTGGAGCTGACGGTGCTGGATATTCTGTTTAGTCTTGATCTCTCCGTGATTCAGATTTCCCTCTGCGATTCCTACCTCGGGCTGTGTTTGGGCTTGGTTTCCGACCTGACCGTCGCCGCGGCGGCCGCGAAGACCTTTGGCGCGGCGCTGAACTTCAAAATCTCGAACGATTTCATCCAAACGCAGGTGGAGGAAGCCCTGAAGGCGATCCACCTGTCGATCCGCCAGTCGAAGCCCAAGCAGGTCTGCAGCATCCTCGCGCTGACCGAGGCCGCCCTGAAATACCCCGTCGTGATTCTCCCCAGGCTGGACGAGATCCTCCGCCGGCTCTGGGAGTGTTTGGCGCATCACGATAAGGAGATTCGCTCGCACGCGGAGGGGCTTTTTCACCACGCGACGAAGCTCCTGGCGAACCGCCCGCCCTCCGCCCGGGAGGAGGTTTACATGGAGCTCATCTATACACTGAAAAAGAAGCTGGGGTCGAAATACTACGAGGACAAAATCGCCGGCCTGCTGGCCTTCGAGCCGATTGTGACGAACACGGCGGCGGGAAATCGGGCGCTGCGGTATGAGGATCTCTCCCTCATGCTTTTGCCGTACATCATCGGAAGGGATAACCCGTTCTTTAAGATCGAAGAACTTCTCAAATTGGTCTTTCGCTGTTTGGTGGTGCTCTGCCGCTTCAACAAGAGTCTCTTCGTGGCGAACCATATAAAAGGCACGGTCAAGTTCGCCCTGCACGCCGTGAAGAACAAAATCCAACTCAGCGAGGCGCTTGACATGCTTACCGAGATCGTTCTGATCGTGGGGCGCGATGAGTTCGCGATCTTTTCCAAGGAGACCTGCGACGTCATCTGCGATGTCCTCCAGGAGTCCAACACGCCTTGTTGGGAAGCGCTGAAATGCTTTTCGGTAATTTGTAAAACTAGTGCACCGATTTGTTTGGAGAACTACGTAGATTTGTGTATAGAAAAATCCTTTAGATGGGGGTTTTCACCGCAGTTAATTGAGTGCATGCGGGACATCATCGCGGCCTCGCGTCCGGAGTACCGCACAAAGCTGGAGGAGTCCCTTTTAGACATGATCTCGATCACGCTTTGTGGATCCCCATTCCGTCATCACTCCACCACCAAAAATTATCCCGAGTTCGCGAGCGACGGGGAGCCGTCGGAGACGCAAATCTCGGTCGCGCTTAACGCGCTCGTGCAGTTCGGCTTCTCCAACTCCGAGCTGATGAGCGACTTCCTGCGGGACTCGGTGTTGCCGATGATTGACAACAAAAGCGTCGAGATTCGAAACGCCGCGATCTACACCATCACCAAACTTCTTATTCCGTCCGGCGAACGGGTGGACCTGAGCATTGCGCGGCGGATCTGCGTGAATACCGTGATCTCCCGCATGCTCACCGTGGCGCTCTCCGACCCTGACCACACCGTACGGTATGCGATTATTCGCGCATTCACCGAGGATTTCTATCCCTATCTGAACGAGCCGCAGTTTCTTTTTCAACTATACTCCATGCTCGGCGACGAGTCGATCGATTGCCACGTGGCCGCGGTGGAGCAGCTTTGCCATATGATTAAATACAACCCGTCCTACATTCTGCACGTTTTGCGAAACGAAATGGTGCTCTTTTTGGGCTTCATCTCCTCCGAGTGCAATCTGGTGACCGTGCAAAATGGGCTTCGACTTCTCGCCGCGGTGTCCTCCAAGGCGCCTCAGTTTGTCGTCAACTTCACCGAATCGATTTTAGAGATTTTGGAAACGCAGGTCGCTCTGGGCTCGACTTCGTCCATGCTTCTACAGCTTTTGGTCTGCTATACGGAATTCGCCAAGGCGACGCATCAGTTCAGCAAGGCCCCGCCCCCCTTCAAAGGGGAAATCGCGAGGGTGTGTGAGTTGTTTAACTCCCTTCCGTCCGAGCAAAGCCACCACGCGGTCCGTCTGGAGTGTTTACGCTTCCTGAGCGCCACCCTCGGACCTCTTGTGGATGGGGAAATCCCGTACAAAACATTCCCTCGACTCTACCCACTCCTCTCCTCGATCATCCGAAGTGCGGAGGAAAATATAGAAATCCGCCTCGAGGCGTTGAAGTGCTTTGGGATTATTGGCGCCATAGACTCGCGCATCCTGCAATCCCTCAGCATTGTTAATAGCGAAACCCCATCCTCGGCCTCCATGGACGTTTTTAGCCAACTCACCCATCAAAAGTGCTGTCGGGCTGTTCTGCACGCCATCTCGGTCTTGTGCGACCCGACGAACAATCGCCCCATCTCCTCCTCCGTGCACGAACGGCTGCTTCGAATGAATATGCAAACAATTCTGAATATCGCGGACCGCTGCCCATGCTCGCGCGCGGAAATGAGCGTCATCATCGCCCCCCTTACAAAGGTAATTTGCGATCTCAATAGTGGCCGAATGCTGGCCTCCATCATCTACGAATACACCAATATCATTAAATTCATCGGTGAGTCCGTGTTGAGGCACGCAGAGAACATCTATTGCGTCTTTGAGGACGTGTGGAAGAAGCACCCGCCCTATCGCTTTCTTGTTGTTCGCATGCTTTCCGTCCTCACGAAATTCGAGACCTCCGTCAGCGATAACTACCGCTATCACCACACCCTCGCGCTGCCGCGAATCCTCAGCACCCTCGGCCACGTGGACTCGCCGATGGACCTGAAATACGCCATCATAGAATACATTTTACGCCATATCGACATCCTGCAGGGCTCCTGCGAGGCGGTCATCAGCAATCTTATTAGCGTCGTTCAGTGCCCATACACCTCGCTCGACTTCTGCAATGCCGCAGTGGCGACGATGAAGCTGGTTTGCTCCAAACTTTACGTGGATGCGCTCGTCGGGACGATTGTCCGAGGCCTTATTGAGTGCCTCACACAAGATTTAGCCAGACCAAACCGTAATGCCGCGTTATTCACAAACGTGATGGCGGTTTTCTGCCTTCTTTATCAAGATTGGCAGACCGATTTCGTGATCTATGCGGCCTACATCATGCAGACGCTGAAAACATTCAGCGTGGTTCACTCGGAGTTTAGCAGTATGAACTCTCAAATCATTAGTGGGATGAACTGCGCGAAAAGCGAAAATCCCTTTCAGACAACAAGCGAGGAGCTCTCCAACTTGTTCCAAAAGTGTGAATCCGAACTCATCAAGAGCCTCACACGGCAGGCCGATGTGTGGAGCTATTCCAAACTCTCCGAGGAAAATAAAAACAACCTTAACAACATGTCCAGCGATAACGGGAAGGAAAAAACGCTACCGATCAGCGAGCAGAAGATACTGGTCTATTTAAAAACAACTCCCCTTAGCAAAGAGGATTGGATGCGGTGCTCCGAGCAGTTCTCCCTGGATCTTCTTCTTGAGTCCCCCTACCAAGTCTTCCGCTGCATCACACTCCCCATCTCCATCAACGCCCCGCCCTTGACGGACAAATTCCCGCAATTCATGCAGGACGTCCTGCACATCGCGTTTCGCACGCTGTGGACGTACTCCAGCGCGAATTTGCGCGTCGCCATCGTGGACTTTCTACGCCTGACCTCCCGGCAGGCGATGGTGCCCTCGACGGTGCCCGACGAGGTCGTCGAATTCCTCCTCGGCCTTGTGGATTACATGGAGCACGTCGGGGAGGGGCTGATGTTGTCCTACACCGACATCTCCGACTGCGCGTGGTATCGCGGGATGTTCGCGCGATCGCTCTTCTGGCGCGAAGAGGCCTACCGCATCAACCCTGCCGGGACCGCGGAGTCGCTTATCGCGCTCTACAGCGAACTCCGCATGGTGGACTCCTCCGTCGGGATTCTAAACCACGCCCCCGAGGCCCAGCGCCGGATTTTTCTCCGCTCGAGCCTCGTGAAGCTCGCGCGCTACGCGGAGGCGCTGGAGCTGATTGAGCAGGAGATGGGCGCGACGGCAGACTCCACCACCCCCACAAACTTCAACAACGCCTCGTCCAGCCCGTACCCGGAATTTAGCTCCCACAACTGCTTAACCCCGCAGCAGTGGAATCGAACGGAGGAGAACGGGGACTATTCCCAACTCATGCACGAGTTCATCGAGACCGACCACAAACTCAAACTCAAGACCGAGTTCCTGCTCTGCTTGAGCGAGCTCGGTGACTACAACAGAGTCCTCAAGGAGTGGAATGAGCTCTACAAAAGCTACAGCGAGGGCTCCTACGACGAAGGGGATTCGTCGATCCTGACGCGCGTTTCCCAATACGCCGCGGATGCCTCGATCCGGGTGCAGTCGTGGGATACGCTGAAGTGCGCTCTGGAGTGGATCCCGCATGAAAGCGTCCATCACCACATCTCCAAGGCGGTGTTGAACATCGCGTCGAATAAATATGATGAGGCGATGACCGCGATAAAGAAGGGCCGCACGATACTCCTCGAGTACGTCTCCAGCGCCCTCCATGAGTCCTACCTTTGCGCCTATGACTGCTTTGTGGTGGTTCAGGAATTGACGGAGATGGAAGAGAGTATTATCGCCAAACTATGGCGGAAAGGGCTAGGCACCTCGGAGCATATTGATACACTGGCAAAGCGCTGGGATCAGCGAACACGCATGATGCGGCCGAGCGCGGCGGTCTGGAAACAGGTGCTTGGGATTCGTGGCCTCCTGATCCCGCCCTCGAAAGACATCCAAAACCGCACACGACTTATACAACTCTGTCAACAAGATAATCTTCGACAGATGGAAAAGTTCACGCTAGACCAACTTCTAGGCTATAGCAACCCAACTTACGAGCAATTGACTAGTCAAACCGCAAATCCGATCGTGGTAATGCACTATATATCCTACCTGGCCTCAAACAACGCCCTGCGGAAGGACACCCCTTATGGGGAAGAATCGGACTTAATCATGAAGGTCGTGGATGTGCACACCAAGGCAAGCAACTCGAAACTCATCGCCCGCGCGTACGCCCGGCTAGGGAAAATTGTCGGCTTCGACGAGGCGATTGTCTGCTTTAAGTCCGCCACCTTGTACGATCCCAAGTGGCATCTCGCGTGGCGAATGTGGGCCGAGATGAGCAGTAAGGTGCTGGATATACAGTACAACAACGAGGCCTGCATCAATGCCATCAAAGGCTACATCCAAAGCATACAGCTTGGGAAATCCGACTCGACGTTCCTGCAGGACGTGTTAAAGCTGCTCGCCCTGTGGACCCGGCACTGCGATGAGGAACATGGCCTCAACACGCTGGAGAGCTGTGTGATGGATATCTCCACACGGGTCTGGAAATTGGTCGTCCCGCAGCTCATCGCGAAGCTCGACTCCGGGAGCGACCGGAGCTGCCATCTCGTTGCGAATATCCTCACCAACGTCGCGTATGACTACCCGCAGGCGCTGCTGTATCCACTAAACCTTTGCACCATGCCAGACTCCGATCGGCGAAAGAAGTTGGCGAATGAGATCATCAAAAAGCTTCAGGCGCGTTATCCGGTTATCGTGCTGCAGGGACGGCTTATGGCGAACGAACTCATCCGAATATCCTCCCTGATTTACGAGCAGTGGTACGACAAACTCGAAAGTGCCGCGAATGCTTTTTTCGGGATGAACAATAAGGAAGAAATGATTCGCACCCTACTTTCGATACACGAGACACTCGAGCGCACCCCTGAGACGATCATTGAGGCGGAATTCATTGCCAAACACAGCAACTGCCTGAATGAGGCCAAGGAGTGGGTCCAATCCTACAAGAAGACGCTCAACGTGGCGGACCTTCATACCGCATGGAACCTCTACCACAGCGTTTACCGGATGATAAACGAGCAAATCGCGGCGAGCACCTGTCTAAAACTGCCCTTCTGCAGCCCGAAACTGTATGAGGCGCGGGACTTGGCGATTGGGCTGCCGGAGCCTCGGCCGCTGCAGGAGGAGCGCTACTTCAACATCTCCTCCTTCCAGGAGGAAATCTTGGTGATTCGGAGCAAACAACGCCCCAAGCGCCTTGTCGTGACGACGGTGGAGGGGCGAACCCAAAAGTACCTCCTGAAAGGCCAGGAGGACCTCCGCCTGGATGAGCGGGTGATGCAGTTGTTTGGGCTGGTGAATGTGCTCCTCCAGTCCGACCCCCGAAGCTGCAAAAACCTCGGATTCCAAATCCAGCGCTACTCCGTGACGCCGCTGAAAAACACGGTGGGGCTGATCGGCTGGGTCGAGGGCTGCGATACCCTCCACCAGCTCGTCCAGTACTACCGCGAAAAGCGCAACATCTGCGTTGACCTTGAGCTCCGCATGCTGGGCCAGATTATCACCCCGGACAACCCCAAGGCCTACGACCATCTGTGCATGATGTCCAAGGTGGAGGTGTTGGAGTTCCTCGCGGATCACACCTCGGGGCAGGACCTCCGCCGCGCGATGTGGGCCTTCACCCCGAGCTGTGAAACCTGGCTCGACCAGCGCACGATGTTCACCTCCTCCCTGGCGAATATGAGCATGGTGGGGTACATCCTCGGGCTGGGGGATCGCCATCCGAATAATTTGATGGTCCAGCGCACCTCCGGCCTGGTGATTCACATCGACTTCGGGGACTGCTTCGAGGTCGCCATGACGCGCGACCGGTTTCCCGAAAAGGTCCCGTTTCGCCTGACTCGGATGCTGCGAAACGCGCTCGATGTATCGGGCGTCGAGGGCGTCTTCCGCGCCGACGCGGAGGTCGTCATGAGCGTCCTGCGGGAGGGCCGGCAGAACGTCCTCGCGCTGCTCGAGGCCTTCATTCAGGACCCTCTCATCTCCTGGCGGCTGTTTAACCGCCCGGGGCAGGAGCCGATCTCCTCGACGGAGCATAAAACCATCGAGGAGCAGGTCGCGATTGGGCGGCTGAATCGCCTGCTCTCCGTCGCGCAGGATTCCATCTCGGAGACGGTGGAAGGGATGGGGATCGGCCCCAACACGATGGGAATTCACCATTTAGGCGAGGAGGTGGATATCGTCCATCAAGGGGTTTTTATGTTCAACCGCGTGAACTCCAAGCTGCGCGGGTTGGATTCCCTTGCAGGGGGGACGATGAAGGAGTCGGACGTCCACACCCAGGTCAGTCTGCTGATCTCGCAAGCAACCAATAATGTGAACGTGGCGCAATCGTGGTCGGGATGGTACCCATTTTGGTAAAGCCAAGACCCACGCAGAGTTTGGGAATTGGTTCGTTAGTTTTCCTTGTATGACCTCACTTTCCGGTTGTTGGATTCGTTTGAATGTAGAAAGTTTGGGTGTATTTATTACCATTCTATCGTGGTAAAGAAGAGGTAAAAAAAATAAATACGAGCGAATTTATACCTGTATTTGGTTTTTCTTGTTGCGTTAAATTTCCCCATTATCACGTTTTCGTTTGCTTTTCCGGCATTTTAAGGAAAAGAGGAAAGATACATCAAATGAAAATTGATTGGTTTAATTTCTACTGCAGGTATAGTTCATTCGCTTTTATTTTTTCCTTTTTTTTCGTGAAGAGGGGTTACTTAGTGCGCACTTAGAACTGTTGTACGCAATTAGGAGTATTTCTCTTTTTTTACTTTTATTAACCTCCTTATTTATGTAACGCTTTAGGGTGATTTCAATGTCCAGCACTTAGACCCACTGAGACTTTATGGTTTCCTAGTTTTCTGTTCCCTTTCTTAATTTTGTTAAAGATCATTTTTTTTCTATTGTGTAAGTCTGTGTTGGGGAGGGAAATCAGTTTGAAAAAATTATTGAACCTCAACATTGTTATTCATTTATAGATCAAATGGCCTGGCTAGGGTCGACGGTGCAATCCACAAATGTAGAGCTTGTCTCAATTATCGAGGAAATGCGGGAAAGAAAATCCATGCTAGACGAAAAAATATTGGAAGATCGAAAAGAAAAGGAAGCGATGGTTGCTGAAATTAGTAATCTAAACACACAACTAAGATCGTTGGACGAGCGTTTATCGATCCGGATGAAAGAAAGCACTAAACTGGATCAGATGATAAGCGAAACATGCGCCGGATTCAACAGCATTTTAGATGCTTCTCAGAAGTTATTGTCATCAGTGAAGGAGAAATCATCACAACTCAACTCTGCTCCTCGGAAAAATGATCAAATTCAGTGAGGTGTGTTGTGTGTTAGTTGATCATTTATACGAATTCAATATATTGAAAATCAAATCGTATAACTATAAAAATGGAAAAAAAACGAAAAAATACTGCTGTTCTTGTTAATAGGTAAAACTTCTTACAGGTGATATATTCTCCTCTATAATGTTTATGTTTCTTTTTTGATTTAGCAACTAAACACTTTCAAAGGTTGTAGGGAATATTTGAAAAGAAAAAACTAGTTTAGAATCAAACCTAAAAGGGAAAATGCAGCCGCAGTATATTCAGGGTGTCTATCCCCCTTACAATATCCAACACCAGCAACTACCGCCGATGCGCGACACACGCGACAACACGTCAGACGTCATCAAGGAAATGTTCACGTGTATTTGTAACCTTTATCGACCTGAAATGCGCGAAAAGGCGATTTTGGATCTCTCCAAAAACCGAGAGAATTATACCGTTCTAGGCCCCACCCTGTGGTATAGCGTCGGGGTGATGCCGATTATTCTGCAGGAAATCGTCTCCATGTACCCTTTACTGAGCGTTTCCGGGCAGGTCCCGGTCAAGGCCGCGATTAACCGCGCGAGCAGTGTGCTGACGCTGCTTCAGACCGTCGCCCAACACGAGGCGTCGCGAAAGCCGTTTTTGGAATCGCAGATTTGTTTATTTCTATACCCTTTTCTGCGGGTGCCGCCGAATGAGCGAACGGAGGTTTTACGCCTCACGTCGCTCGGGGTGATCGGGGCCCTGGTGAAGTCCGACGACCCGGCCGTCATCACCTACCTGTTAAACACCGAAATCTTCCCACTGTGCTTGCGGATTATGGAGCAGTCGGTGGAGATTTCTCGGATTATTTCGACCTTCATCCTTCAAAAACTCCTCCTTTCCGAGCAAGGTCTTCAGTACGCCTGCCAGACGCCGAACCGATTCACCGCGGTCGCCGAGGTGCTGCAGTTTATGGTCTCGGAAAAGGATGAGAATGGCCAACACGTCTGCGCGACGCGGCTGCTTCGACATATCATCCGATGTTACCTCCGGCTTTCAGAAAATGAACGGGCGCGGGAGGCGCTGCCGAAAATACTCCCGGAAGAATTGCGAAACAACACGTTCCACCAATATCTGGAAAAAGACACCAATATGAAAAAATGGCTATTGCAATTGTTGGTGAATATCGGGGATGAGGGTGCAAAACGAATTAACGAAATTGCAAAGGTTGCCTAACCCCGCGCATTTATCCATACACAATAATAAAAATGATTGCTGTTACCGTGCAGGTTCACTTAATGATGTGCGCCATGAAACTCTAAGGCGTTGTTGTCTCCTTTGATAGGGCTAGGTGTAAGCGAAGGTGGGAGGAGGAAAGAATTTGTAGGGTTAAGGCTTAAGCGGATAAATATATGAGCTTTATTAGAACAGTATTTGAGAAATGGAAAAAATAGAATATACCGTGATATTGGAATTTGAATGCATTTCAATAAATTGTAATGTTGTTTATAAATAGTTGGATGGATTTCAATTGATGATAACCCAGGTACTATTACTGGAGTAGCAGTAATATCAATGTGCCGATCTATAGAAGTTGAATCTTTTCATTACTCACTCGCTTCCTTTTGTATGCCTCCCACACCTTTTCTATTTGATTCGATGAAATAAAGGAAAAATTAGGACTCTTAGGAATTATATATAAAGATGTCGGATGAAGCAAATGGTAATTCATTTATGGAGGATATGATTTGTCCTACCAACGTTTACAAACCGTCTCTCACGGTCGACGTCACTGCTGATGAATCCAAAGAAGGCGCCGATTTGTGTATTAGCCCTCACCCGAGTCAGACCCCTCACGTCTCAACGAACATTTTTGTGGCTGGGATTCCGTCATTTTGGGATGACAATGACTTACGTGAGCACTATAAAGAATTTGGTGAAATTATTTCCACGAGGATAGTAAAAAATAGGCACTTCGGTTTTGTGATGTTTCGTCTTCCAGATTCCGCACACGCTGCTATTAACGCAACCCACCTAACTCGACCAGTGCAAAATAGTCCAACCCTGCTCCATGTATCGATCGCGATGCACGACGAGGGCGTGGATGAGCAACCCAACGACCGAATATTTGTGCGAAACCTTCCTCAATGGGCGACAAAGGACCACTTGAAGCAATGTTTTTCCCCTTTTGGGTCGATATTGGAATGCGCGGTATTGATGAACCCTCTTGGGCAGTGCAAAGGGTCGGGGTTTGTGCAGTTTTCCTCGCTCGAGGAGGCCTCCTCGGCGATCAGCGCGCGAAGCAGCATCAAAATAGACAACTGGGACCCCCCACTCGAGGTGAAGTACTCAGAGACGGCGGAGGTGCGGCGGCAGCGACAGGAGCGGAATCGGAACCGCCAGAAGAAACTGCTCAAGGTGCCCCGATACAAAAGCGGCAGCCTGCCCATGCCGATGGATTCGCCGTACTTTTTCTCCCCGGTGATCTCCGTCCTGTCCTCCCCGCACGCGGGCTA